AATTGTCGTAGTGCCAGACAGAGAGGGACCATATTAGAGAGGTTGATATATGATTTTGATGAAATCATGTTTCAGGAGCTAAATGCAGACGAATATCATTGCCATTGAAATGGGGCAATGCTGCTAGTAAAGGAGAGATTAAAGCTTGCGATGCTTGACCTGAGTACTTGGAATCATGATCAGAGAAAATGTAACAGCCACCATTAAGAACAAACATTAAGAAGACACCATATAGGTGGAATATGTAAAACATGTTGTAAAAAAGAGTGAAAGAAACTGATAGTTATTGCAATGGGGGATATTTTCACCCAGATTAGGATGGTTGGGGGGAAGGCCCAAAGCTGACCTAAAACACCGAGTTAGTCCAGATACTTGGATTAAACGAGAATCTGGAGATAGGTGACTAACCACTAGTTATCACGGGGACCACGATGATGCGACCCAAGGTCGCCACGTGAAAAGTAAAGGACCACCACGTGTTGTCACGTGAAACGAACCCGTGGTAGAAGTCAGACTTGACTCTAGTCAAGTTTAGTTTGTGTCGACCTGTTGGAGTGAGAGGACGTGCGACTGAAAGTGAGAATGTCAACGTGAGAGTGCTTGTGGAGAAAGGAGACCCTGCCGACGAAGTGTGAAGCCGAGATCGACCATGCCAGTGTGTGAGATGGCCAGAACCTCAACGTGAATCCATGGGAGCCAACTTTGGTCAGTGAATGCTTGAAGAAGACTGTTCGTTGAAGGCTGCGTGAGTTTGGGTACGAGAGCTGTTTGCTAGGACACCGACAGGACATTCTTGTATGTAAGTGTAAATACGTCAATAAACTCATGTCTCGTAAGCTCACATCGGTGTCGGCTTGTGCCAGTTGTGTAACGTGGAGCGTGTGAGAAGATCATCCACCACACACGCATGAACACTACCTAGACAACGAGAAGAAACACACACCACTTATTACAGTTATTCCCACATGAGTGACAGGAGCGATGCAGACCAGGTAGAGATGACTGCTTGTTTCAAAAAGAGCATCAGGACAGCTTCAGTCCCACAAGAGTGGATGCAGAGGTACTTGATTCCACCTTATAAGCCTATAAAATATAATTCAACACTCAGACGTTTTAGGATCATAACCCTTTGAAACACCTTTGGTAACGTGCTGAAGAAGATAGTTCCAGTAAGCTATATGAATTTTTGGAACAGAAAAATCTCATTCCAAGAAGTTTGGGAAGTAACAGGCCAGAAAAGGACACATGGTCAAATGCAGCCACTTTTGCCTTCGAAGGCTTTCAAAACAAAGAGGAAACAGTGGTAGCGGCACTCGATTAAGAAGATGCTTACAACAGAGTCAGATACAATAGTTTTATGACAGCGCTTATGGAGAAGAGAGTTTCCATGGTTGGTACACTGGATAGCAGCTGTTTTGTATATAGCAGCTGTTTTGTATATAGAAGCTGTTTTGATATTCAGAAGCTGTTTTGTATACTCGTCGAGTTCTCCGCCTGGATTCACAGACCTCCGAACCATCTGCAATTTCACCTCTTCTGCCTACGCTTTGTACGAGCAAGACTGCGAACATAGAGAAACATGGAGTTGGCAGAATATTGATATTTGCAGATGATGTTTGCTTATATAGGAAGGGGAGAGATCAGAATAAAATAGAGTAGATAATGTGATCCACTGTTGTACAGAGAGGAATGCTGTAATCAACCCAGAAAAGGCATTGGTTCTGTGGTGTTCTTTGAACAACATGAATGTTAGAGCTGATGTTCCAAGCCTCAAAATAAATGACAGGAACATTATGAGAGACAGCAGACTGCTGTACTTGGGAATCACCTTTGACAGAAGTTTGTCTTTCAAGGATCACATAGAGGAGGTTGTGACAAGGGTTGAAAAAGGTCCTAATGCACTAATGATAATAGCAGCAATGGACATGAAGCAGAGAAAGCTCATCCCATTTTACTAGCACATCATTATATTAGTGATTGATTATGGACTGGGGTTACTCACTGTCTCGAAGAGTCAGCTAGAGAAACTGGAGCACATACAGAATGAAGCTATGCATGTGATCCTTTGATGCACAAGAGGCACCCCTAATGTGTGCATGCGATATACCTGCATTGCCTACTATTGCAGAAAGACTAAAAGTAGCTGAATAGCAGCAGACACAGAGCATCCTCTGTATAAAAGCTTTGACTGCAGTTACGGGTCGTAGGCTGAAAGCGGGAAAATCAATGATAGCTCAAGCAGAAGGCACACTCAGACAAGTATGCATCCTGGAGATCGTTGGGCGAGGAGAGGAATGGGTCAGAGTACCATGGGGAAAATCTAACATCTGTAGGGTTATAATTATATTAGGCCAGAAGTGCAGAGAGTGTCCATGGGGTGCTACGGAGGGGGAAGTCAAACAGTTGATTAAAAAACATTCTCACCCAGATGATCTTATTTTCTTTACCCATGGTTCGGTGTAAAGGGGGAAGAGAAGTGCCTGGGAGTACGTATCGAAAGCTAGTGGAAAATCTCTAATGGAGTTCAGCCTAATATATGATACCACAACATCTAACATGAGAATGGAGGTTGAAGCGGTCAATGCAGCTTTGCGGTGGCTAGAGAACAAGATTAACCTTATCATAATTATTTGGGGATGGGGGGGGGGGCAACAGTATTGTCGCCAGACAGTCCATACCCCTTTCGTCTAAGACTGGTCTAGATCTTGTTACCTCAATGATAATGAGGCTGATTCGAAAAGTGGACTTGCCTTTATAGGTAAAAAGTCCTTGTTTTATAATTATATGTCTATATGTCGGGTTAAGTACTAAATTATGTCCTTATTATCTTAAGAGAGATACAATTTTTAATGCAAGTCTTTAGAGGGGAAGTTTCATTTATAGTGAAGCCAAGATTCCAATGGCCGAACTACCGCTTGGATGCAGATGAATCCCCTCCAAAGTGTCTGACATTGTTCTTTTATATATCTGAGTATACTAGTAGGTTCTTCTTCTTCTGCGTTCATCTGAAGATGTAATTAAGTTGTGTCCGTTTACAGCATGGCTTCGATATTTGCACCTTTTGGTCAACTCACCGACTTCTGCGGGCATTTGTTGACAGGGTTAGCCTTTCCGGTGTACTATTAACAATTAACACGGTCTCTAGACCTGTGATATACCCAGGACAGTTACATGGTTTGTAGTTCTACAGTTAATAAGTGTGTTCAGACAGGACTGATGAAATCTGCCATTCAATATTGAAAGGAGTTCCTGAGTCAATACACCAGCTTTCCTAGATGTTTGAGAAGACATTCCTTCCAGAGGACAATCGAATAAGCGAAGTACCAGCACCTGCGGATAATCCAATACCTAAGTGCCAGTTTCCTGAGTCCAGTAATCCACATCTTAGCAGTGCTGATTATGGCTGCTACTAAGGGCAACTAATGTGTTAGTCCGTCAAAACCTATCTTTGTTTTATCGGTGGTTATTGACTTTACAGAATTCCTTTTCTTCATTTATACAATTGTTGTACTGATTTCATTATGTTTTGTGATTTTTACAGTCTTGTTTAAGGGTCCATCCTTTACTGTTTCTAGTTGTCTGGAGTTTTTGTAGTAATGTTATACTGCATGTTTACCTGTGTTAATTTTACCAGCACAGAAGTACTATACAGCCTGAAGACAATTGTAGTGAGGAAGTCATGCCAAGTTGCGAATAGGAGTATTTTATGTTCTGTACTTCTATAATTTGAGTCGCCCTACCCTTTAAAGTATTTTGGATGTTCACTGGAGCTGCAGGATACTGCCTTGACCATTGCGAGCAGACATCTCAACATTTTCAAACTACTAAACAGTGCCATTCTGACGAATGCTGGGAGTAAAGTCAGTCATACAGGTCACCAAAAAACAACAAATGCAATGGTTTAGACATCTAAATGAAATGCCCTGGTACAATCTACCACAGCAAGCCATGCTGAAACGTTACAACGGGTATAGAGCGAGAGAAAGACTTCAGAAATATGGAGTGATGGCATAAAGAACAGCTTTACAGAACTGAATATCAATCTTAATAGTGCTCTTGACAGAGCTCATCAAAGAACGTTACATCTCCCCTCGACACTTCACTGAGGTACGAGATGGAAGAGAAGTAAGAATAAGAACAAGATACATAAACATATCGTAATTGTAACTTACTCTTAGAGCATGCTGAGAAAGGTGATGACAGGGATGCATCGAGCAAAGTGGCTTGGTTTACTGTGAAGGTCACGGGTAGTGAGATACTTTGAATATTGCCTCCAGGCCTTGCCATCAGGTGTGGAATGAAAAGGCGGACAGATTGGCTGGATCTGCACCACTGGGTAGTGAATTGAAACATGGCAAGGTTGATGTGGTCTAGGCCCTTTAAGAACATTTAACTAAATAAGGAGAGAAACAAGACTATTATGGCCTAGAGAGAATGATGCACCTGGGTGTCAAATTTAGTTCAATTTGTTTTCTCCCTTAAGCGGCCACTAGGCCCTTGAAAAAGTGCATGCGAAGCCCTTAGGGCTCCGCTTGGCGCAGATTAGGAACCATTGATGACGAAAATACTTTGTACAAAATGTGATATCAGTAATGCTGTATGCAACATAACGGGCAATAGACGTGGTTGATTTTAAAATATTTTGTATGGTATGTTTTTGCAGCCATTATGGAATCAGCCTTAAAATTATTGATCTTTCAGTGTAGATATCTGCCTCAGTTATTATTGTAATTTCAGAAGATACTTTACTGAACTTTAACAAAATAATTCTACTTACTGTTGAAGATGGCTGAAATCAGATAGGCATTTGTCAAATTAAATCGGAATGTCATCTCATATATAAACGTGGTCAAGCTGATTTCTTGAGTACCAGGCGACACCAGGCACTCAGCATATGTCATGACTTTGTCCACAAGCGAGTAGTCCAAGCCTGAAAAAACATATTCGGCACTTATTTCAGCAGGACTGCCAACAACACACACACATACATAATACACACCCACAAACACAAACACACGTAACCTATGTCTTGTGTCAACAACCTTTTTTCTGCCGTAAGGCAGGTGTCTCGAGTTACAGACCAGTGACAGACAAATCTACCCAAAACACACCAAAAACAAACAATCCTTGAGCAAACACAACAATCTTTCATGTGCACAGATCATCAAACACTTGTCAGTTTGCCCCAAGAGGGTGTAGGCGACTCTATTCGAAACGCAGGCACTGATGGCTTTGCAAATCACCATTCACACATTTCCGTCCCCGTGGATAAGCACCGGGCAAAAACCCACACTTCTCTCGACAGGCTCTTTTTACTGTCGCTGGCGCCGACACCAGGATCGTGAGGCACGCACAGAGTGAGTGGCTGAATGTGCGAGTGAAGAAAATATCACCACAACAAATACCCAACAACCTGAGATAGCTAATCTAACTTAATCTAATTTAACCAACCTTACCACGTGATAATGCTACAAGAGCTTAAGACGTAAAGAACTATTACTATCATACTTCTTATTCTATACTTGCACTGACCTCTAACATCTTGCCTCACACTTGTTATGTGCATATGTTGCGGCATTATAAACTATTTAGTCATCATACATTAATCACATCAATTGTAACATGATTTCTCACCTGACTTAGTGTTATTTTGAAGTATGTTATATGATATGAATATATTTAAAACACACATATTTACACACGCAAGCACGTAGGCATGCACGCGTGTGTGTGTGCGCGCGCACACACACACACACACACACACACACACACACACCCATATATATACATATGGATTTGGTAGTATTCAGAAGTCAAACTACAAGAAACGGAAATAAAAACGAGCAGACAGGCTGGCCGTGTCTACAATGGTAAGTGGGAGAAAAAAGTGTGGAGGGGCAGCAATGAAAAGAGCTATGTTTTACAGGCGTTGAAACAAGGGAGTCACATACACTGCACCACCTGTGACAAATTGGTGCTAAACGAGTAAGCAGACCCGTTTGCGCAATCAAAGTAAAGAAAAATCTCTTCTCAAGAACTCATACATGGCTAGCTAAACATGTAGTCTGCGAGCTGGCTTTTGCATCGAAAGCAGGAGTACGAGTGTGTCGGACAGTTTTACTGCGATGTGATACAAGCAACAGTTAACAAGTATAACATATATATATATATATATATATATATGTGTGTGTGTGTGTGTGTGTGTGTGTGTGTAAACATATATATATATACATATATATATATATATATATATATATATATATATATATATAGATAGATAAACACACGCGCGCCCTCTTTTTTGTGTGTTATACTTGTGTGTGTGGGGAGGGGTGAGTACAAGAATAGATAGAACTAATGGGGAAACTCCAGCCATATGGGCATATTTCAGTGACTGAAAAACTCTCATCTATAGACACTACATTATAAAAATATGTGAAAAGGAATTGTTTTTGTAACCTTATAATTTCTTTTGTTTCTGGTTGATAACACTGCAGTACTTGCTATTAAATAATTGCCTATCCTATTAGTGCAGAAGGTACACCAGTTTTATTGTTGGTGTAGTGATTAGTCTTATCCTAAGTATAACTTCCTATTGTTTTCCTAATGCTTATTTTGTTTCATTTAAATAATTTAACTGAATTTTTTTTTTTTAACTGATACTTTCACGAAGCACTGAGTTGATTTGTAATCATGTGATTTAATGATGCATTTTTGTTGTCATAAAGTATAATACACCTACGAAATGTTATCATGTCAGTAGTTACAAATGTTTATAAGAGCATAAAGGGCATGCAATATGTAATTTTAAGAATTCCCGTGGAAATCCCAGAGAGTTCCCGACTGCGGAGACAAGGTCAGAAGACCATTAAAACAAGAGGAAAGCGAGATAAGCAGGTCTTGAGTATCCAGTGGTGAGTGAATAGGTATACGAGGAAAGCGTGAGACTTAAACGGAAGGTGAGAACTCAGAAATGGTAAGAAGTCAGTTGAAGTGTGGACCTAGATTTGTGTGGTCAAATGGGAGAGAACAGCTGAGAAGAATGCAGACCGTCTGACCACGTGTATTTGTTGGAGAGCAGAAATGAGTGTCTACTGATTGCAAGTTTTGATTGTGTACAAGTATAAGGTACATTATGTTAGCCTGATCTAGATGTATGACCCGAAAGGTAATGGCAGAGATAATCACTGTGTGAGATAGTTGGAAATGTTATCAGGAATTAGCCATACGTAGCAACCACTAGAACATAAATGAGCGCATAGACAGTGCGGTTGTTGGAACAGCGAATAACGATTAACTGAATGTTTATTGTCTAGTGCATTCCTAGTAACTGTCTTTACCTAAGAAAGTCAGTTTAGCAATGTGACAAGTTGAATGAAATCCCTAGCAGAGCCACATTGCACCATACGAGCAGACATTTTGTTTGCTATCCTTTGTTTTCTTCAAAGTGAGTGTGACTAATAAAGAAAATGTATCTATAATTAATCCCCACTTTTGCATTAACTGTCGCAAGCACAAACCTATTCTCTTCAAACATATCATCGACCATAACAGAATAGCATTGAAGGTCTGTTTTGAGAGTGTTGGTTGCATTTTTCTTAATCTTCACTAAGAAGAAAGAAATACCATAATGTAATACTTATGCATGCTATACAACTTAAAAAAAAAAAATAACATCTGGTTTAAAGCAAGGTGATGCTCTGTGCTCACTTCTTTAAACTTGGGATCGGAGAAACTTATAAGGATATTGACAAAAGAGTGTACTACAGTTTGAGCTGGATAAGAACAGAACAGGCTACAACAGGCTTTTTTGTAAAAATCGAAAAAAAAAAAAAAACATTCATGAATGAATCAATGCCACTAAAGGTTAGAAAATAGTATTCATACATGCTAAACACAGCCAGTTTTAGCGGGTGGTTGTGAATCCTGGAGAATTGATAGACAAACCAAAACAATATCTTGAGGCCTCAGAGACTTGGTTTTACGGAAGAATCCTTTAAATTATTAGACAGCTCAAAAAAGCAGCTTAGACTGTTACGAAAGAGGCGAGGGCTAGTGTTTTGAAAGAGGCGAGGGCTAGAGGATAACTTACCACAAAGATAAAGATACCGTCATCATCTTTTTAGGTTTTAGAGAAGAAGTAAACTGGAATACACTGTGACCACTGAAAGCATCCCTGGGGAAATGGGAGGGGGGGGGGGCGAAGGGGAGAGCGATAAAGGAAGGCAATGAGATAAGATTTTAAACAGGCTTTTGCCGTGTAACAACACACACGGATTGGTGCATACCGTTCAAGATCGTACATTGTGGAAAGGCATGATCGCCAGTACTAATCGGCGAAGTATTTGATGATGATGATCATGATGATATATACGTTATTTAATGTTGACGTTCCTGTATTCTAAAAATTTATTTCAAACGGCACAGATTAATCATGCGTCTTTTAGAAACAGCAGAATTCAACAAAAGCAGATTTTTAAACACGATACAATGCAGTAGTATAATACCACAATAATATGCCACCAAGACATCAATTAATTTCCGGCGTTGTGCCTGTTTGGAAATGAATGATGCCATTCCTGCTCAGCCTGAAATGGAAAAGAACGAAATGGTAATAATTTAAGCAGAGCATATGCAGCATATGCATAATACTTCTAATACTTCTTTTTCAACTGTTACAACCCCCCCCCCCCCCCCCCCCCCCACTTTTTGCTTTCTTCTGTTACTACAGAAACAGTTAAAGAAACCAACATCCGTAGAACGTATCAAGAGCCCATTGACAGTTATTTGTCTGTAGATTGGTGGTCTTAAACCTAGAGCGGGGGTGAGGGGCATGGAGATATAAAGTTGCTTTGAAACTATGTTCATTTGTACTTTGAAAAAATCCTTTGTACTAATAATGTGTTCAGTTTAATTATAAACGAAATAATTTTTAATAATTTGTAAAACAATCAAACAAAAAGCTGGGGACATTTCTATTTCGCTTTTCTGTTAATTTGTTACATGATCAACCGATTATCCTTATCGCACATCGGACAAGTCCTTAAGCTCTCGGATCCTGTATATTCCGCAGCATAAGGCGACTGGTTAAAAAAAAAATTGTATTATGCGAAATGTCCACAGAAACTTCAATGTTCTCGAACTTATCCTCTCACTCTTAAGCGTGCTCACGGAATCACTTTGAAAGCATGCCTGGGAAAATGCTGTCTCTAACCACATCATTCATTTTGCAATTTGCATCAACTGTATTAGTTTGACCTTGTAGTCTAGGCAATCATTGCTAAATTGTTCAGTTCTTCCTAGAACCAGAACCGTGAAAGACGAGAGCTGTTTACATGTCTAAACAAGTGCACCTCCATTAGCAAATCTTTTAAGAACTAAAGCAAAAAATCCCACATCCAGTATCAACGAGTTTCATTGTATGCAGTTTGCTGATAGCACATGAATATTGCAAATGCTCAAATTAAATATTTAAGTAAATTGTCATAAAAAGCGACGGTATTTTGAAAAATTGCATTGAACTAATATTTTTAATGTTACAAATATAACAATAGTGTCTCTGAAAAAAAAAAACTGCACACACACACATTATTTTTAACGGTGTTAGACAATACAGGCAAGCAACACTATCAGGTGTTGTTTGCCGTTGTATTTTCAGTAATTATACAATAAGACCTGTCCCTTTAGAAAGACATTTAACTTTAGTGCATCCAGCGTTAATAAATAAAACATCAGTTTATTTTGCTAATAAACTAAATTTCTTGAAGAGGATAAATTTGGATCCAACAGCTGCTTTCAGTCAACATGAAAAATGCCAATGAAGCATCATATGAACTAGCGGTAAGTAAAGTAAAGTGATCCCTTTCCACGCCTTTATAGGCGTATCGGGCATATGGGAAGAGCTCCCATATTTTACAGACCGTCAGCATTCGGTGGGTAATGTGGTCAGCATTACACCGGCTGTCTTTACTTTCACAGGACAGCCCATCATAGTAACCATTCTAGGCTGGGTCGACCTGCGACGTCCCATACCACGATAAAAATCTATGCAGCCCTCAGTTTGTTTCGATCGCGGTATGTTGGATTACGAGTCGGACTCGCAACGCCTTAGCCACGGACGCCGTTGAACTTCCGGTACTAATAAGCAAAGACAAGAAAGAAAGCAACTATAATAGGTGGAATCATTAATAAACCTTGCATTTTACTTGCTGCATATGTTATACAAGTAGTGACACATTATTGACAAAATGTCTTTCGAGCAGCACTGTGAAGTGTTGGATTGATGACTTTATGGAAGTTGGGGGAAAAAAAGTTATTGAAAATGAAAAGGTTAAAATGTCACTTTCGTCTCAAATCCAGTTTGATTAAACCACGTATTTGGCTCAGTACTGTCAGTTAATAGTATACCGTGGAATTTGGGATACAGTCTTCTTTCGTTAGCTTGCAGTATCTGCAGTTTTGCTTGCAGGCTTGCACTAGTGTTTCTCTTGGCCAAAAGTATCGCCTTAATTTGTTGTATTTGGGACAGTCTTGGAGGACGTGATCTGGTGTCTCTGTTGCCAATCCACATGTGTACATGGCTGATTCGTTAATCTTAAATTGTGAATACATGTAGCTACGAAGTCGATTGATTCATGTTCTAGCTCTGGTCTGTCTATAAAATAGCAATCGTCTTGTTCCGGCTTTGGTGGCTTTCTGAATGATTTGATTATTATCTTCTTCTGTTGGTAAGAGACGGGTAAGTTCTTCAGTTGCACCTTCCTTAGCTGGTTTATCAGCTCTTTAATTTCCAGGAACTCGACAGTGGGATGGTATCCATTTCATAGTTACCTCACATCGTCTGTCTAGTTTGTAGAGTAGTGTTCGTATAGTAGGTAATTTTCTAGACTGGAGTGCCTGAAGTACTGCTCTAGCATCTGAAAATGACGTCCAGTTTCTCTGCTGCTGTTTTATGGCTTGAACGTCTACATCAAAGTAATGACACTGCTTTCCTGTGGGTATTTTGGCTGTATATCTAGTATTATTTAAATGCTTATATACACTCCTGCTTCTCCATTTCTAGTTGCGTTTTGTGCTGACCAATTCGTTCGACACGAACCCAAAGATTATGTGGGTATTCATTATCAAGAAGAGCAGGGTGGTTGTTTTAAGTTGCACACTGTTTTGTTTTTATTGCAGTATTTGCTTTTCTTCCATGCAACAAGACTGTCAAGAATCTTCTCTCGTTGTCTTCCTCTATCCCTCCTTTCACATAGCTTTCCAGTGGTCACAACATGGCTGTCCAAGGTATTTAAAGCATTGTTCTGTAAATCCACATCTCTGAGGCCTCAAGAATTTGTTTGGCCTGCCTAACGATTGTCCAGGACTTACAGCCATATGTTAAAACTGGATGTATATAGCAAGCAAGAATTCTTTTTCTAACCTTTAATGACAAAGATATATTGCATTAGATATTCTTCATTTTATAAAATGCAGTTTTTGCCTGTCCTATTCTGTTTCTTGTTTCAGTAATGCATCTTCCATCTGATGTTATCAATGTGCCCAGATACTTAAATTTCTGTACTTGTCTCAAAATAAAACCATTGACTTTTATTACACATTTAGGAATAATTTGTGTCTTTGATACCACCATTACTTCTGTCTTCCCAGTATTCAAACTGAGGCTCATTCTTCCACTTTCGAATAGTGTATAAAATAGTAACAAGTAAATAACAAGTAACTAAACTTGTAAATTGTCACTGACAGCTTAGTGAATCCATGAAAGCGGCATTAGCCCCCCCCCCCCCCCCCCCCCCCCCCCCCCCCCCCCCCCCCCCCCCCCCCCCCCCCCCCCCCCCCCCCCCCCCCCCCAAAAAAAAAAATATGTCCATGTTGTCAGTATTAAGGCAGCTTCTTGTCTCACTGAAGGTATTTCCAGCTGTACTAAACAGACGTTCAGTTGGTACGCTCATAGGTTGTGCACAAAGATAACGCTTGACAGTATAAACCAAGGTGGGAAATCTTGATATGTCTATTTTCCACCAGTCCAGAAACGGGTGTAAAGTAACCACTATTCGTATTCGGCCCCACCGCAACTATTCGGCCGAATACCGAATAGTTATTAGGTCCACTATTCGGCCCCGAAGCGAATACGAAGCGAATATTCGGTACAGCCCTAATTGTTACAACAAAGAATGCTTTTTTTTTCGAAATGTTTACAAAGTCAAAGGAATATGATTTACTTTACCCATTAATATATTTTATAAACCATTCATATTTGTTTTCATGAAAATGGAAAATACAGTGGAAAGGAAGTAGGTGTTTGTACAAGATGGTGCTCCATCTACAATATTTTTTCGTTTATGGTTTACTTATACTGGTTACAGAAAAAAATTAAGACATCATTGGAAATCTTTTTGTAATTCACAAGACAAATCCTGTCAACCGAAACTGCCACAGGATCTGAACGATGCACCGGATAAAGCTACAACAATGATGCATTTTTGTTTGTTTTTGTTTTT